AGTAATTAGTACTTGACGCTCTTTTTGATGGCATCGAAAAGTCTCCATTTTGTTGGTAAATAGAATGGCTCGAAAACGTGTGGGAATGGCGTGTCAAAGCCGCATACTCGCTCAATTGGTGATTCCAGATGCAGGAAGCATCGTCGCTAAAAAAAGGAAAATAATTGATAGCATTGATAGCATCGCAAAGAGTAAGTGATAGTTAAATAATATTATAAAATTCAATCCGTTCATAAGAGTTTTAAAAGGGAATGGAGATATGCAGAAAATAACAAAACAGTAACCTGTATGGCAGCAGCAATTTCAGCTCCAAAGCCACTCGTTATTGGTGCCTCGTGAGTAACTATGAGTCGCCCTGTCTTCTCCACGCTCTAAACTTGAAAACTACAATATTTGTTATCACTGCTCCAGACATATATAAACTATTTTGGAACCTAAACCTGCTAGGTGCAAGAAACCCTAATGTAGTTCAACTATGGAGGTAGTAAACACCAAAACTGGAGTAACCGGAGAACTATTCACTAGCTTTCCAAAACCAAGCAACTCCTTTGCGCTCCACTCAAAACCCAGTGCTTCTATTCACAACATTGAACTCCTCCTTCAATGCACTGTTTCGCAGCAGCATGCCATCACTTGCGAGCAATGTGTAGCTATAACCCATCGCGTTTTGCTCTGTGCAATATGGGAGCAATGGTTTTCAGTAAAGGGAAAATTTGGCGACAGTTACGGTGGGTTTCGTTCGTGAGAAGAATTACGAAGACCGCAACAACACGCTGATGTACTGGTCGCGCCGTGCTCTCATATATGGAAGTTTCAATCGAGCAGATTGTTTAACACATTTTCCTTATTACTTGCCTTGACAACTGCATCCTCATCCCAAGGTTGAATCGTCTGGAGATCGATAACTTCAATAGACATCCCCAACTTGTTCTTTTGCCATCTGGGCTGTTTCAAGAGAAAAGTTGAAGGTCAACAGAAAATCAAAAAAGGTCATAAAGACGTGATTCTTTAATATCCCTCCAGAGCAGAAACTTTCTGGACGTACATAGTAAAATTAGGAATTTGAAGCCCAAAAGAAATGGAAATTAACTTACCGGTGGCTATTTCTGGCTTGACATCCGAAGGGAAAAACGAGAAGTGTGCACCATTGCGCTTTGACTGTTGGATTAGACGTGGGATACTACGTAGAGCTACACTAGTACTGCGTGATGCCATGGCTGAATATAGTCCGTAAAAGACTTCTTTTTGAAAGAAACAATATTTTTTAGAAAGAATAATATTATACATAAAAGAAAAACAGAAAAAACGGTAGCGGTTCAGAGTAGGTCACAACTAGAAAAATCAATGCCGTCAAAAAAAGGAAAATTTGGGGCCAAAATGCACGATAGAACGTCTCTGTCATCAACAATTCGATAGAAATTTCAACACTGCAGTAAAATTATTTATTGAAAGAAGCACTGGACACCAGCGATTCACCCAAAGACACTATTGAGTCGTCACTGAATCCACACGGCTAAAAAATCACCGGTGATAATAGAACTCTTGTGACATCATCAAAATATGGAACTAACATGTGTTAACTCAAACCAAGGGCCACCGAACCAAACTTCAACAAAAAATTTCACAAATAACTACTAACAAACAGCGAACTGTTCTAGCAAAGACCGCTAGTACCCAGGTCAAAACAAGTAACCATGTCCAGAAGATTGCTATGGTAATTCGGGAAAACTCGTGAGAGAAATGGTTTCGAGTACATAAAACAACGCCATTGATACATTTGTTTCGATAAAACAAGACACGAAGGCTTTAATGACCTCTGGTCACTTCAAATGGAATGCTATCAGCTCACGACTTGAGAGGCGGTCGGTTCGTCCTCGTCCGAAGTTAGCCCTTCGAGCCCTTCGTCGACATCGAACAATTCCTCGTTTATGGCTATTGAACCCACACCTAAAAAGAAAATAAATAAAATGTCTACATCTTCCTGCCTGTCATTGTTCAATTATTTCACGTTTCCTTATTCATAGCTAAGCATAGATGAAAGCCAATAAAGCAAACAAGCGGCTATACAAATATACATTTTAGTTACGTCTATCCCCACTGCCGATTCACAGCAGGTCAAACGAGTAGAAGTAAAAGTTGAATGGCCAGGGCGGACCAATCTTAAAAAAATCAAGATGTCCCTAACCCCACGCTTGAATAAGCTGTAAGGAACACGCACATGTGAAAATGTACCATTTCCTTTGAAGGCACGCTCCGGGATCCAGGCACGCCCACCTGTTTCATACTCGAGCGTAGTAGACAGGCGGGCAAGTGTCGATGTTGCGCACCTTTTGCGGAGACCCTAGAAGCTTGCTCGACACGGTGGATATGGCTGTTCGAGTGTTGCTTGGGGGGTGAGTTGCAGAGGTGGGAGGGTTTGGGTGGGGAGGGTTTGGGTTGTGTGGGCTGGGGGAGCCCATCCACGTCTGTCGTCCGCGAATGCTCCACCATCCCTGTTGGGCCACGTGACGGGATAAGTGTCCCGGGACTTAAAGAAATCGCAGCGGCATTTGCTACCGGCATTGCATGCGCGTTTCATTTATGGGCACTAAATAACTGGAGATATGTGAATCGCCCAAGACCTCTCTCTCATCCCCAACGTAAGGCGGCCGAAGTAGATAATCCATCAATAGCGAGCTAAATCGATAGTTTCTCTCTCTCTTTCCTTTCAGACCACTACCATACCTCCAGCTTCATTTGGAAAACGATCTCCACACTCTATTTTATACTCAAATTTGCCTTATAAAAGTAAGCACCGGGAAGGTAATCTCATGTGCATTATATTTCTTTCCGTGTTGGGAGCTGAGAAATATAAAACTCCAAAAGTAACCACACTCAAAGCAATAGGACGTAGCAAAATTACATAAATTACCTGAAGCCAATCCATCGGCATTAGCAGCACCGGTCGGGAGCTGTCCCATCATTGTCCAAATCGTCATCCATACCTTCGAATTTGAAGAGTTGTTGTCAATCTCGAACACCTTTTCGTCGGGCTAAAATACGAAATAAGAGAAATGGTAAACGCTTTGAGCGGGGAGTTTCATCAGCGAAAAAATGAAAAATGATCATTACGCACGTCAACCTCCTCCTTCTCGTATTCGACGTCCTCAGCGTCCTCATCATCAACACAAGCATCGGCATTGAAGGTGAATAAGTCACGACCACTCATACCCAGCTTGAAGCAAAATCAATGAAACAGGACGATCATAAGCAGAGAAAACGATCAAAACTCACAGCCTTTCCAGCCTTGATCTTGTCCTTCTTCGCCTTTTCTTCATCAGCTTCTTTCTGCTTTCTTTCTCTCAATTTCCTCTTCTTCCATGCAACGAACGTCTGGAGCGTGACTTTTGTCAGATTCTTCGATGACAACGCAGCTCTCTGAAAAAGTACCGAGCAAATACGTGAGTGTGACCTCAAAATACAGAAGGAAATTGTATGTATTTGGGGCAGATGGGAAAGTCACTTCCAGCAAAAAGTGAAACCAGGCCAGCCTAAATGCAAGAGCTGAAAATGTGTGAAATGGGAAAATTTCACATTACTCTTGCTCTTGGAAACGAAAATACATCGTTTGCTTTACTATATTCTGGGTAAAAAAAAGCGTTTTGAACCACTCCGATCCCGTCGATGATTGATAGAGAATACGAGGATCCAAAATTCAACAAAACACTAAAGCACAATAGTTCAGCTTTGAATAAGATTATCCAGAGGAACAGGAATGCAACAGAAAATAATAAATGTAAAAGAGGAAGGTAGCTGAATGAAAACTAATCAGGCTCACCTCCTTCTCGATTAGCTCTTCGAGACTTATTCGATTCTCTTTATCTAGCTCCTCCATCTTCTTTCTATCTTTCTTCAACACATATCTGAAATGATCGGCTTCCTAGACCCTAATTAACCAGTAATGACTTCAGGCGGAGATAAAATAAATATCCACAAAATGGAGAAATGGAGAGAAATTCAAACAACAATAGGATAGCATAAACTTACCCCTCCGGTAAGCAATGCCTATACTGACACTTTTCTCCACCGTTCGGACACTCCCAGAACCATCCGTACTTGCTCTCTTCAACAGCTTGGATGAAGTATTTACATACCTGAAACTTCATATTAGAATCGAGCACTACGCTCATAGAAGTCCCAGAACTACAAGGATGCAAGTAATGTTTATAAGTCCAGTTGTTTAAAGATATTCGAACTAACAATTGTAGTCTGATTTAATTTCTTGTTTGCTTCTCCATGTTTGTTGTTGACGACTTCGTTCAGTTTTGACTCATCCCAGTTCTCCATGTTATCTACAAAGGAAAAAATTACAAGAATATTACCCGCTTGCTAACAGCATCAGCCACTTCGATGTAATATAAAAAGCTGGTGCAGCTCACCATCCTCATCCTTCCCCAAGTCTCTGCTATCAACATAGAGATTTTTCTTCAAAGTTTTCTGCTCAACGGCTAGATCGTGGCTGAACTTGCATTTAGCTCCTTTATGGCACATTCCTTGCTTGAAAAATGCGCACACCACAGATTTTGGATCGACATCTGGAAAATTATTTCAATTGCACTCGCGAACTAAACAACGACAGTATGTAGGCATATAACTAAGTAGAGAAAGTGAATCTCCCATCAACAATTGGTTGAGGTTGAACAAATGTCAAAAGAAAAATAATTATATACATGCTACTTGTGCACCTATGAACGGTAAAAGCAGACGTCACGATCAGTGATTTTGGTGAGATTTTCGCACACAAAAATGAAAGCAAGGGTGCGCAACTGACCGGCTGTGAGAGAAAAAATCCGTCAAAAACGCTTAAATTGAGGGCTTACACATTTTGTGATTCCTCTGTTCTAAGGTAATGAGACAGTGAACGCGGAAGAGAGGATATGCGAGGGACTGCGGACGAAAGGGCGCAGACATCAAACTTTTTCGAATGAGGGTAATCAGGCAGTCCAAGCGGTTTTGGGAAGACATTAGCACACCTGTCACTCACTTTCGAGCCAGGAAAGGGAATATGGGTAACTTTTACCGCGACCGGACTTTTAGAAACATGGTGACATCGAAAAAGTTATGGCAACAATATACCAACCTCTTTGCACTTTCTGCTCTACAGGCTTGATAAGTTTAGTAACATCACGTAAATCGTCGATCTCCTTCTTCTTCTTTGCCTCAGCAGCTTTAAGTTGATCCAGTCGGGCATTATTATTTCGTATCTTAAAAAAATGGGTTATGAAAAACTATGCATAACAAGATGCCGTCTTACTGACCTGGTTCTGAATTTGTTGGACGTATTTCTGATTCTGCGCCCCTTTCTTGTTTTTCATACCAAACGTCTTATCCTCGATAATTTTTTCCTTCTTCTTTTGTTCTGCCTTTTTACTTGGTTGCTGTTTTGGCGGCATCGTTGGGACCCTTGTGAGTTCTATACAACGTAAACTGAAACAAAATAGTAAAAAAAAGCGATTAAAAAAGTGGATATCACTGGGCGAATTCCAAGTTTCGAGAATCCGAAAACAGCAAAATTGAAGAAACAAACGTTATAAATAACTGGTTAAAGCAACAGTCTCCCGCTTCACTCCGCGAATTCGATCTGGAATTGTTGCCTTCTAGAGGGGTTGAAAGTTTGTAAGAGGAGCAAAGATATACCAACAGCCTCCAGAGTTTTTCAAAGCGTCACACTTTATTTGAAAGTGGGTGTAATTTCTTTCATTTCACTATTTTGCTTCACTTCAGTGAACCTGTTGCAGAAGCAGAAAAAACTATAGCTCATAATTCAGGTCACATCCAATAAAGGGAGGGCACGTGGCGCGACATTTCATACTGCATGAAGTAAGGCTGGTGTCAGAGTCCGCGATCTCGCAGTTTCGACTACCCTCACGCCGCATTTGCGGCGATTCACGCGACGGATCGCAAAAATTGCAAGTGTGTGAACATTTGAAACACTGAATATGAAACAAGTGGAATCATGAGCAGTCGTCATTCAGCCATCACTATCAAGCAGAAGTGGCGGCAGGATTGGAGAACACCTTGCAGTATTGATCGGGCACTTGTGATTTCCGTGACTCCGTCGCGGTATTTTTAAATCTGGAAGTTCTAGCGATCCATGGAACTATCTAGGTATTCATAACGCTCCCATACTACCGAATTCGGATAGATCCCCACTTCCTTTGCACATTGATCAGCGCTTGTTAGCAAACATTCTTAAGATGATTATGAAGTTGTCAACCCTTTCCAACTACTAAACGCTTCTTCTTCGAAATCGAAAAGCGAAATCAATGGGGCTACCGCAAGATGCGGGGACATCCTCCAGGCTAAACCTAGGAAGGAGCAGAAGTCTTGAGATAAACGAAAAATGCTAACACGCCTAGAAGTGCACTGACATCACATTACCACCGCATCTTGCGATAGCGCCAAACCAAGAAATAACAAGGAGAAGAAATTGAGAACTGCTCACGAAAAAAGGGAAACAGTTTAACGGGCAAGATTCGCAACAGATTTGTGACCGATGTCAATTGGACATTACTGGGCAGCAATAGGAGAATGTAGAAGTCTAATCTAACAAGGAAGAAATACAATTACAGTGGGAAAGAAAGGCAAACCGTTCAGACAATATTTCATGAAGTTGGGCCAGTTCGGCCGCGTAATTAGCGCCAACAGTTGTAGGCTGACGCGCCGCTGGTGTTCCAGTGTCGGTTCAAGTACTTCGATCGAGCTTTTTCACTAGCGACCTCGGCAAGTGGGTAAGTCCTTTATATTTGGTTGTTATTCCTGCATTATATATGAACTTACGGTAAGACGAACTTCACTGACCGAAATTGATTGCCGAAGTTATTTTAGAGGAAAAAGGCAGCTTAACTCAAGCGCACAGATGGGTAAACGAGGCCGCGACCATACTTTGCGATTGCTTTGATTTCATTTGCACTCACGTGTAGAGTGGTACGTGCCGATGGTGCTGCCGCAAGACCTATCGTATTTACTCCACACTCGAACTGCAAATCGAGTGCAAGACAGTGGCAAAGTATGACCACACCTCAAGGCAATGTTCAGGGCGCATTCATAGTCGGCCATCCGATCGTAACGATCGCACACCATTGGCCGATGTCAGACTTTGCGATTGGAGCGATTTTGCACCAATTGCAGGAGCGACGGATCGCTTGAGCGAAAGTGCGAGCGACGGGAGATTTACCCGCCGACCACCGATAACTCGGCGCCGCTCGGGTAAATCTCCCGTCGCTTGCAGTGCGAGCGACGGGCGATTGACGACTGATGGCGCCGAGTTATCGGTGGTCGGCGGGGTAAATCTCCCTTTGCTCGCAAGCAGTTTTTGGGTGTTCCCGAAAATTGCGTCCTAATGCTGAAACGCTTCCATACGGTGTACATACCAAATCAATGAGAACACAATGCGGAAACTGCTGAAACATCATTTGTCTCGTACAAATGCTTAATGGCTGCAAACCAAGCAAAAATCTCCCCGTCCCGCAAAGGTGAAACTTCGGAACGCTCTCGGAAAATTCCAATTTTCCACTGTAGAATCCACAAATGAGGTTGAACACAAATCTCTTTTTTGCCAATTGTTGTATCATTGAGCTAGCTAATAGCATACAAAAAGGCAGCTTTCTACATCAAGAAAGAACAACCTTATCACTGAAGAAGCAATTCCAAGCAACCCTTCTGTAAAACTTTCACTGTGAAAGATGTTCAAAGAACGTGGCCATTACAAGTTTGACAACGTATTCCGGGTTAATATAGCACCGCTCAAAATTTGGAATATGCGCAAAGGAATAAAATTCAGGGGTCGTCGCCGGCATCGGGCGACATTGTCGCCAATCCTACTATATATAATTCGCTAAGTATGTCTGTGTGTGTGTAGTCTGTGTGTGTGTTTGTCACGAAATTCGTAGCTCGGGTCACAGCAACGATAGCGCCATGGTTCTTACATATGTTATAGGGGGTGGGATGGGGACACAAGTGGTACGTGATAGGAACTGATAACGACTGATAATAGCTGATAAGAGGGGCTAGAAAGCGAGCATCGCCAATTTCGTTTTGTCGTTCATATTGGTACTAAAGAGCGTCTATACTTACAAGTGGTTATACATGAATGGAAGCGATAGCAACTGATAAGGGCTGATAAGGGGCGTCAGAACGCAAAAGTCGTCGATTCCGTTACCTGGCTCGCATTGACACCAGAGCAACCATGCTCACAGGTGTTATGTGGGGTGGGACGGGAACATTGTTGGTAGGGTGATTGAAAGTGGTTACAACTGATAAAGGCTGATAAGGCGCGTCAGAACGCAAAAGTCGTCGATTCCGTTACGTGGCTTGCGCTGACACTAGAGCGTCCCTACTTACAAATTCTATTTGTAGTGGTACGTGCACACTGTATCATTGTATGACCAGCCTACTTAATAGCAGTCTACTGCATGAACTCTATCAAGTAATGTTCGCAGGCATATGAAGAGATCACAAAGTAGAGATCTAAAAGGGGTTCTTTCCTCCAAAAAGAATAGTATCATACGGCCTCCTATACGGCCAGCTGCAGCTCAACGATTATTAGACGCTAGCAAAGCAGTGCTTTGCCACCCAACCTTAGGACGATATGTGCTGCAACTCTTTCTTAATCTTTTTTCTTTTTTCTGCCTCTGTTAATGGCGATAAATTTTAGGAGTTGGTAAATGTTTGGAACTATGCGAAATACGCAAGGCGACGATTCGCCAGCGGATGTCGATAATAGCCACTACAGAAGCACACAAATATACGGTTATGATTCCTTGCCCGGACCGTTTAGTGCCCATCTTAATGGATCTGCATAGTCATGGCACACGTCAGCGCATCAAAGGTGACTGAATCTTCGTCTACTTGCGTGACTAATTGTACCAAGATAAGGCTGGTGTCAGAGCTCCGCGATCCACTCTTCGCGATTTTCGCGATTTGCGCATTTCGCGATTTGCGCGATTTCGCGATTTGCGCGATTTTCGCGAAACCTGCGATGGATCACAGGAGTTGGAAGTGCCCGATGAATACTGCGAGGTGTTGTTTAATCCTGCTGCGAATTCTGCTTGGCAGTAAAGATTGGAAGACGAATGTTTGTGGTTCTACTTGTTTCATGTTCAATGTCTATTAGTTCATTGAAATGCTCTTGAATCGTTCCTATTTTTTTCAGGAATCAAACCAAACCAATCACAAAAATTGCAAGTGCCCCATTTGAACAATTGAAACACTGGATATGAAACAAGTGGAATCATGAGCAGTCTCCATTAAACCATAACCATCAAGCAGAAGTGACGGCGGATTGGAGAACACCTTGCAGTATGGATGGGGCACTTGTGATTTCCGTGACCCGTCGCGCAAATCGCGCAAAATCGCGACAAATCGCGCAAATCGCGAAAATCGCGCAAATCGCGCAGACGATCGGCATCGCGGACCTGACACCAGCCTAAGGCCTCGCTGGTAGTTCACGACTCCGAGGATCACGATAGTACGCGACACTAACAACAAATAATTCAATGTATTAGGCAGTAAGGAAATTTCTTGCCGTCTCGGATCCTAAAGTTCAAAGGGGCATATATCGACTCGAACACAATATTCTCGTTCGTAGTGGAATCCATCACAATCTACTCTTCTTTGCCAACATTATATGTGTTTGACCAAACCTTTCGTTGAAAGTAGTGGAGTTTCAGAAATGAACTTGGCCAAAGTATCCATCACCATGTTCATAGGTCATAGGTTTCGCAGCATTTCTCTTCTAAGGCGCTATCCAGACTGTTGAAAAACTGGCAGTGATAGAAGAGCCACGTGAATGAGAACTGTTTGTGGCAATAGTCCAAACACCCAGCGAGTTCATGTTTATATGGTACTCTGATCTCGCGGCTGAGTGCGTCTCGGCAGAAGTCTTATTTAGAAGTCATTAGTCACCCCTTTGCTTGCGCTTAATGCTGCACGTTTTGGGGCGATTCAACACTTTGCTAAGAAGACTTGTCCACTATTGATAGTGCTGCTGTGCTCAGGTAGCTGCGGATTGCTATCGCTGAGGCCTGAGTCAGAGTCGCGATCCGTGGCAGGTTCGCATGATTTAGTGATTTTCGCGATTTTGCGCGATTCACGCGACGGGTTACGGAAATCACAAGAGTCCGATCAATACGGCAAAGTGTTCTAGCCGCCACTTCTGCTTGATAGTGAATGACGACTGCTCATGATTCCACTTCTTTCATATTCAGTTCAAATGTTCAAATGGGGCACTTGCAATGTTTGCGATCCGTCGCAGGTTTCGCGCAAATCGCGAAAATCAGCGAAACCTGCGACGGATCGCGGACTCTGACACCAGCCTAACAGCAGCATAACATTCCTTCGTGCATTTTCACCGTTGCACTTTTGTTCACCCAGATCGTGATCGTAACAACTC